GACGTGCCGGAGACTGATCGATTGTAAATTGCTGAAATAAAATGATTATGCAAATTTTGTTGATGTTTGTTATATATGTAGAAAATATGTCAAACCTGTATATTTCATCATCCCGTGGTATCAATATAGGAAACTGTCTTATTCAACACCGCGTTGTATCAAAAGTATAACCTGTCTAATCAAACTCTCGTTTACGGTATCAACAATGAAACCTGGGCAACACTGACCCATGTTGTGTCAACAGTAGCACCTTTCTATTCCGACTACACATAGTATCATTTTTTTTAATTTCTTTTTTGAAACCTGTCTAATCAGATATCCCGTGATGACAAACATAAGACCTGTCTAGTCAAACACATCACGACATCAGCAGAGAAACATGTCAAACCCCGACCCCCATGGTACTGCCAGGGAACCTGTCAACCTGACACCTGGGTGTACTGTATCACGGTAAAACCTTTCTAATCCGAATCCCTATGGAATAAACAACCTGTCTAGCCAAACACCTCACGATGTCAACTGTCTTATATGACATACCATGGAATCAATTATAAAACTTGTATAATCCGACACCCGACAATGAAACATGCCCAGCCCCAAACCCCTTGATATTGACAACCCGTTGTATCAACACTGAGGTATGTTGTAACCGACACCCTGGTGTATCAACACTGAAATTTGTTGTAACAAACACCCTAGTGTATCAACACTGAAGTTTGTTGTAACCGACACCCCGTTGTATCAACACTGAGGTATGTTGTAACCGACACCCATTTGTATCAACACTGAGGTATGTTGTAACCGACACCCCGTTTTATCAACGCTGAGGTATGTTGTAACCGACTCCCCGTCGTATCAACACTGAGGGATGTTGTAACCGACTCCACGTTGTATCAACAATGAGGTATGTTGTAACAGACTCCCCGATGTATCAACACTGAGTTATGTTGTAACCGACGCCCCGTTGTATCAACACAGAGGTATGTTGTAACCAACACCCTGGTGTATCAAGGTATGTTGTAAACGACTCCCCGTTGTACCAACACTGAGGTATTTTGTAACCGACACCTCGTTGTATCAACACTGAGGTATGTTGTAAACGACTCCCCGTTGTATTAACACTGAGGTATGTTGTAACCGACTCCCCGTTGTATCAACACTGAGGTTTGTTGTAACCGACACCCCGTTGTATCAACACTGAGGTTACAACATACCTCAGTATTGATACACTAAGGTGTCGGTTACAACAAACCTCAGTGTTGATACACTAAGGTGTCGGTTACAACATACCTCAGTGTTGATACAACGTGGAGTCGGTTACAACATACCTCAGTGTTAATACAACGGGGAGTCGTTTACAACATACCTTGATACACCAGGGTGTCCGTTACAACAAACCTCAGTGTTGATACAACGGGGTATCGGTTACAACATACCTCAGTGTTGATACACCAAGGTGTCGGTTATAACATACCTTTGTGTTGATACAACGGGGAGTCGGTTACAACATACCTCAGCGTTGATACAACGGGGAGTCGGTTACAACATACCTTAGTGTTGATACACCAGGGTGTCGGTTATAACATACCTTAGTGTTGATACAACGGGGAGTCGGTTACAACATACCTCAGTGTTAATACAACGGGGAGTCGTTTACAACATACCTTGATACACCAGGGTGTCCGTTACAACAAACCTCAGTGTTGATACAACGGGGGGTCGGTTACAACATACCTCAGTGTTAATACAACGGGGAGTCGTTTACAACATACAGGGTGTTGGTTACAACAAACCTCAGTGTTGATACACCAAGGTGTCGGTTACAACAAACCTTAGTATTGATACACCAAGGTGTCGGTTACAACAAACCTTAGTGTTGATACACCAGGGTGTCCGTTACAACAAACCTCAGTGTTGATACAACGGGGTATCGGTTACAACATACCTCAGTGTTGATACAACAGGGAGTCGGTTACAACATACCTCAGTGTTAATACAACGGGGAGTCGTTTACAACATACCTTGATACACCAGGGTGTCCGTTACAACAAACCTCAGTGTTGATACAACGGGGTGTTGGTTACAACAAACCTCAGTGTTGATACAACGGAGTGTCGGTTACAACAAACTTCAGTGTTGATACACCAGGGTGTCGGTTACAACAAACCTTAGTATTGATACACCAAGGTGTCGGTTACAACAAACCTTAGTATTGATACACCAAGGTGTCGGTTACAACAAACCTTAGTGTTGATACACCAGGGTGTCGGATACAACAAACCTCAGTGTTGATACACCAAGGTGTCAGTTACAACAAACCTTAGTGTTGATACACCAAGATACAACGGAGTGTCGGTTACAACATACCTCAGTGTTGATACAACGGGGAGTCGGTTACAACATACCTTAGTGTTGATACACCAGGGTGTCGGTTATAACATACCTTAGTGTTGATACAACGGGGGGTCGGTTACAACAAACCTCAGTGTTGATACAACGGGGTGTTGGTTACAACAAACCTCAGTGTTGATACACCAAGGTGTCGGTTACAACATACCTCAGTGTTGATACACCAAGGTGTCGGTTATAACATACCTTTGTGTTGATACAACGGGGAGTCGGTTACAACATACCTCAGTGTTGATACAACAGGGAGTCGGTTACAACATACCTCAGTGTTGATACAACGGGGTGGGTGTCGGTTACAACAAACCTCAGTGTTGATACACCGGGGTGTCGGTTACAACATACCTCAGTGTTGATACACTAAGGTGTCGGTTACAACATACCTCAGTGTTGATACAACGGGGTGGGTGTCGGTTACAACAAACCTCAGTGTTGATACACCAAGGTGTCAGTTACAACAAACCTTAGTGTTGATACACCAAGGTGTCGGTAACAACAAACCTTAGTGTTGATACACCAGGGTGTCGGATACAACAAACCTCAGTGTTGATACACCAAGGTGTCGGTTACAACAAACCTCAGTATTGATACACCAAGGTGTCGGTTACAACAAACCTTAGTATTGATACACCAAGGTGTCGGTTACAACAAACCTTAGTGTTGATACACCAGGGTGTCGGATACAACAAACCTCAGTGTTGATACACCAAGGTGTCGGTTACAACAAACCTCAGTGTTGATACAACGGAGTGTCGGTTACAACATACCTCAGTGTTGATACAACGGGGGGTCGGTTACAACATACCTCAGTGTTAATACAACGGGGAGTCGTTTACAACATACCTCAGTGTTGATACAACGAGGTTTGTTGTAACCGACACCCCGTTGTATCAACACTGAGGTTTGTTGTAACCAACACCCTGGTGTAACAACACTGAGGGATGTTACCGACACCCTGGTATATCAACACTGAGGTTTGTTGTAACCGACACCCTGATGTATCAACACTGAGGTTTGTTGTAACCGATACCTTGGTGTATCAACACTGAGGTTTGTTGTAACCGACACCTTGGTGTATCAACACTGAGGTATGTTGTAACCGACACCCTGGTGTAACAACACTGAGGTATGTTGTAACCGACACCCTGGTGTAACAACACTGACTCCCCGTTGTATCAACACTAAGGTATGTTATAACCGACGCCTTGGTGTATCAACACTGAGGTATGTTGTAACCAACACCCTGGTATATCAACACTGAGGTATGTTGTAACCAACACCCTGGTATATCAACACTGAGGCATGTTGTAACCGACACCCTGGTGTAACAACACTGACTCCCCGTTGTATCAACACTAAGGTATGTTATAACCGACGCCTTGGTGTATCAACACTGAGGTATGTTGTAACCGCCACCTTGGTGTATCAACACTGAGGTATGTTGTAACCAACACCCTGGGATATCAACACTGAGGGATGTTGTAACCGACACCCTGGTGTAACAACACTGACTCCCCGTTGTATCAACACTAAGGTATGTTATAACCGACGCCTTGGTGTATCAACACTGAGGTATGTTGTAACCAACACCCTGGTATATCAACACTGAGGTATGTTGTAACCGACACTCCGATGTATCAACACTGAGGTTTGTTGTAACCGACACCCTGTTGAATCAACACTGAGGTTTGTTGTAACCGACACCTTGGTGTATCAACACTGAGGTATGTTGTAACCAACACCCTGGTATATCAACACTGAGGGATGTTGTAACCGACACCCTGGTGTAACAACACTGAGGTATGTTGTAACCGACACCCTGGTGTATCAACACTGAGGTATGTTGTAACCGACACCCTGGTATATCAACACTGAGGTATGTTGTAACCGACACTCCGATGTATCAACACTGAGGTTTGTTGTAACCGACACCCTGTTGTATCAACACTGAGGTATGTTGTAACCGACACCCTGGGGTAACAACACTGAGGTATGTTGTAACCGACACCCTGGGGTAACAACACTGAGGTATGTTGTAACCGACACCCTGGTATATCAACACTGAGGTATGTTGTAACCGACACCCTGGTGTATCAACACTGAGTATGTTGTAACCGACTCCCCGTTGTATCAACACTGAGGTATGTTGCAACCGACACCCTGCTGTATCAACACTGAGGTATGTTGTAACCGACACCCTGGTGTAACAAGACTGAGGTATGTTGTAACCGAAACCCCGGTGTAACAACACTGAGGTATGTTGTAACCGACACCCTGGTGTAACAAGACTGAGGTATGTTGTAACCGAAACCCCGGTGTAACAACACTGAGGTATGTTGTAACCGACACCCTGGGGTAACAACACTGAGGTATGTTGTAACCGACACCCTGGGGTAACAACACTGAGGTATGTTGTAACCGACACCCTGGTATATCAACACTGAGGTATGTTGTAACCGACACTCCGATGTATCAACACTGAGGTTTGTTGTAACCGACACCCTGGTGTATCAACACTGAGGGATGTTGTAACCGACACTCCGTTGTATCAACACTGAGGGTTGTTGTAACCGACACCCTGTTGTATCAACACTGAGGTATGTTGTAACCGACACCCTGGGGTAACAACACTGAGGTATGTTGTAACCGACACCCTGGTGTAACAAGACTGAGGTATGTTGTAACCGAAACCCCGGTGTAACAACACTGAGGTATGTTGTAACCGAAACCCCGGTGTATCAACACTGAGGTATGTTGTAACCGAAACCCCGGTGTAACAACACTGAGGTATGTTGTAACCGAAACCCCGGTGTAACAACACTGAGGTTTGTTGTAACCGACACCATGGTGTATCAACACTGAGGTTTGTTGTAACCAACACCCTGGTGTATCAACACTGAGGTTTGTTGTAACCGACACCATGGTGTATCAACACTGAGGTTTGTTGTAACCGACACCCTGGTGTATCAACACTGAAGTTTGTCGTAACCGACACCTTAGTGTATAAACACTGAGGTATGTTGTAACCGACACCCTGGTGTATCAACACTGAAGTTTGTCGTAACCGACACCCTGGTATATCAACACTGAGGTATGTTGTAACCAACACCCTGGTGTATCAACACTGAGGTATGTTGTAACTGACACCCTGGTGTATCAACATTGAGGTATGTTGTAACCGACACCCTGGTGTATCAACACTGAAGTTTGTCTTAACCGACACCCTGGTATATCAACACTGAGGTATGTTGTAACCGACACCCCGTTGTATCAACACTGAGGTATACTGTAACCGACACCCCGTTGTATCAACACTGAAGTTTGTTGTAACCGACACCCTGGTGTATCAACACTGAAGTTTGTTGTAACCGACACCCCGTTGTATCAACACTGAAGTTTGTCGTAACCGACACCTTAGTGTATCAACACTGAGGTATGTTGTAACCGACACCCTGGTGTAACAACACTGAGGTATGTCGTAACCGACACACCGTTGTTTTTTTATGCATCAATATTGAATTCAACACTAACGACCAGATAAAAAGGACACTTTTGAAGTCGTTGTTTCCGAAGATAAATCGGCTTAGTAATCATTTAAGACTGAGGCGGTTTACGATAGGTACATGGATTGAACGTTAGATGAGATTAATGGTATAAGTTAAATATCGAATGCGTGAATAGAAATACAAATACATAATTATGAAACTGCTTCATAAACGCTACTTTCATCGACCTCAGAGCATAGCTGATAGTGAAGACATATTTTTAAAAGCAATAGCATATATAAGCCGCCGGATCTTAACACATTTATGTACAAAGGGATGTTTTTGATGACATTTCTGTTGGATCAATTATTGACTGTACAATGTAATACAATACAAAACAATACATTGTTGTATTGTACTATTGACAATCACACGCTACAATAGCGTACCTTACAATTAATGAACTGTTATTACAGTTATATGGTGAATATGTAACTATTACAATTACCCACAGGTACTCCGATATATACCACTGGATACATACAGGTACTGCTGTGATTACCACTAATTACAAACATGTTGTGTTGTATTTACTACCTGTAACGTACAGATGTTCCTGAATGTACCACCTATGAAAGACAGTTTATCATAAACAACATAGGGGTATTACTATATCTATCACCAATTATATACAGGGATTATTGTATATACATCTATCAGTAATAACAAACTGGTATTGTTGTAGCTACATTGTATCACCAATCATATACAGGGATTATTGTATATACATCTATCAGTAATAACAAACCGGTATTGTTGTAGCTACATTGTATCACCAATTAAATACAGGGATTATTGTATATACATGTATCAGTAATATCAAACTGGTATTGTTGTAGCTAAATTGTATCACCAATTAAATACAGGGATTATTGTATATACATGTATCAGTAATAACAAACTGGTATTGTTGTAGCTACATTGTATCACCAATTAAATACATGGATTATTGTATATATATATCAGTAATTACATAGTGTTATTATGGTATTAACCATCAATTATATGTAAATATTTCTATATTTCTCACTAATTGCATACACATATTACTGTATCAATAATTACATACAGATACAATGACATACTAAAACATGCGTTGCAATTTTCACCACTAATTATATTATATTATTTTTTATGTCACTAATTACATACATTTATTGCAGTATTTATCACAGATTACATGGTATGTACATGTACATACAAGTACAATCATTGCAGTATTTTCAACAAATATATAAAAGTTGCCGTATCGTTCTCTAAAAATTTATTTAAAAAAGTATATTGGTGTATTATCAACCATTACCTACAGATATGGCGGTAAATATAACCAATGTGAATATAAACTGTCCATTTCTACTCGACATGAAAAATATATAATAATTTCTACAGGTATTACAAGTACAGTAATATAATTTAAAACACGACAGCTAAAACCTTAACTTTTATTTCTTACTTAATTGACCTTTCAATCTTCTCCCACCTGATTGGCATGTGCAACGTGCCTTAGATCATCACTCCTCGAAACTTTTTATAGCTGATCATGAGTTATCTGCTCTTCGAAACTATTTATAGCTGATCATGAGTTCTCCGCTCTTCGAAACTATTTATAGATAATCATGAGTTCTCCGCTCTTCGAAACTATTTATAGATGATCATGAGTTATTCGCTCTTTGAGACTATTTATAGCTGAGTTCTCATCTTCTCCAAACTATTAATAGTGGAGTTCTCCATTTTTCCAAACTTGTTATAGCTAAGTTCTCCACTCTTTCAAACTATTTATAGCTGAGATATCCCTCCTCCAAACTGTTTATAGCTGAGATCTCCATTCATCCAAACTATTTATAGCGGAATTCTCCACTTCTCAAAACTATTTATAGATGAGATCTTTACTTTTCCAAACTGTTTATAGCTGAGATCTCGACTTATCCAAACTATTTATAGCCGAGATCTCGACTTATCCGAACTATTTATAGCTGAGATCTCGACTTATCCGAACTATTTATGGCTGAGATCTCGACTTATCCAAACTATATATAGTTGAGATCTCGTCTTATTCCGACATTTTTTAGCTGAGATCTCGACTTATCCAGACTTTTCATAGTTGATATTTCCACCTCTCTAAACTCTTGATAGTTTGGGTTTATAATTCTCCAAATTATGACTGCAGTCAACACTTACCCAGACTAGTTATAATCACTTCCCATACACTACCTCTGTCCTTAACACTTTACATCCCAAGAAGTTATAGCAAGAAATTATCACATTTCCAAAGTACAATCACTAGTCACAATATTATACTTTGATCAGTCACATGGTTGTAGTTTAATCTATAATATCATTGCACCCGCCGAGTTATCAAACAGTTTCGCGTTTGAGCAGAAAAGCAACCCCTTCCCGCCATCCATTTGTATTATGATATCTTTCAAACATCAGCGATAAAAGTCACAACCTGTGTTAGCTGTAGATTGTGTTCTACCGTTTTAATTAGAAGTAGAATGAATGTCAGTCAAAGCAACATATACTTGTATCATGATCATATAATAACAATACTTAACAAAAAATGTCAAACTCAGTTTTTCAGTACTAGTGTGTAGATTCGTATGTACCGAACTCTTTTGATTGTTTCAAAATTATTTGCCCTTTTCCTTGCTGTACAGATAATAATACAAAAAGACGATGACATCTAGTCTCTCTCCCTTAGTCTTATCACAATTGTTTGGACGGAAGTGATTCGCTCAACATATAAACTAAAAAAAAAGATTTGTCACAGCGCGTTCGAATGGTGTATATCACGTACGAGACTAATATACTAGATATTTGGTGAATCATTCGACGTCGCTAACCTTCTTGTGGCTACACATTGTGTGGTAAAATATCTTCAATCCGTTCAGAAACCTGGGAAGGTCTATGATTACAACCGCTCCAAACACTACTGCCAGCATTCCTGCGCCTAAGTAGCCTAGCCCCTTTGCTGAAACCCTTTCATCTGGTATGCTAATAAGTTTTCGTTTCCATGACGACAAGTCCTTTTTCTCGACTGTCAGCTCCTTTTTGAGAGTTTCTATCTGGGATTGTAACTCTTCTGGAGACATTGATGTCATCTTGTTACTGTTACAGAAACAGTGGTAGCAGGAACTGGTGGGCGTTCCTGTGTACACGTTGGTGAGGGATTCTACAGAAAAAAAACAGACAAATTAGTAGTACAGGAAAGGTAGATTTTGCATCTTGCAAGGATCAGACCAGATCTCTAACAAGGGTATCATAACAGGAAAAAGGAAAAAAAGGTGAGAATCAGAGTAAGGAAGGATGCTAAGGTCAGTATCGGAGTAAGGAAGGGTGATAAGGTGAGAATCAGGATAAGGAAGGTTGATAAGGTCAGTATCAGAGTACAGAAGGGTGATAAGGTGAGTATCAGAGTAAGGAAGGGTGATAAGGTGAGAATCAGAGTACAGAAGGGTGATAGGATGAGTATCAGAGTAAAGAAGAATGATAAGGTGAGTATCAGAGTAATGAAGGGTGATAAAGTGAGAATCAGACTAAGGAAGGGTGATAAGGTGAGTATCAGAGTAAGGAAGGGTGATAATGTGAGTATCAGAGTAAGGAAGGGTGGTAAGGTGAGTATCAGAGTAAAGAAGGGTGGTAAGGTGAGTATCAGAGTAAAGAAGAATGATAAGGTGAGTATCAGAGTAAAGAAGGGTGGTAAGGTGAGTATCAGAGTAAAGAAGAATGATAAGGTGAGTATCAGAGTAAGGAAGGGTGATAAGGTGAGTATCAGAGTAATGAAGAATGTTAAGGTGAGTATCAGAGTAATGAAGGGTGGTAAGGTGAGTATCAGAGTAAAGAAGAATGATAAGGTGAGTATCAGAGTAAGGAAGGGCGATAAGGTGAGTATCAGAGAAATGAAGGGTGATAAGGTGAGTATCAGAGCAAGGAAGGGTGATAAGGTGAGTATCAGAGTAAGAAAGGGTGATAAGGCGAGTATCAGAGTAATGAAGGGTGATAAGGTGAGGATCAGAGTAAGAAAGGGTGATAAGGTGAGAATCAGAGTAAGGAAGGGTGATAAGGTGAGAATCAGAGTAAGGAAGGGTGATAAGGTGAGAATCAGAGTAAGGAAGGGTGATAAGGTGAGAATCAGAGTACAGAAGGGTGATAGGATGAGTATCAGAGTAAAGAAGAATGATAAGGGGAGTATCAGAGTAAGGAAGGGTGATAAGGGGAGTATCAGAGAAAGGAAGGGTGGTAAGGTGAGGATCAGAGTAAGGAAGGGTGGTAAGGTGAGTATCAGAGTACGGAAGAATGAAAAGGTGAGTATCAGAGTAATGAAGGGTGGTAAGGGGAGTATCAGAGTAATGAAGGGTGATAAGGTGAGAATCAGAGTAAGGAAGGGTGATAAGGTGAGATTAGAGGAAGGAAGGGTGATAAGGTGAGTATCAGAGAAAGGAAGGGGGGTAAGGTGAGTATCAGAGTAAGGAAGGGTGATAATGTGAGTATCAGAGTAAGGAAGGGTGGTAAGGTGAGAATCAGAGCACAGAAGGGAGATTAAGAGAGTATCAGAGTAAAGAAGAATGATAAGGGGAGTATCAGAGTAAGGAAGGGTGATAAGGTAAGTATCAGAGTAAGAAAGGGTGATAAGGTGAGTATCAGAGTAAGAAAGGGTGATAAGGCGAGTATCAGAGTAATGAAGGGTGATAAGGTGAGGATCAGAGTAAGAAAGGGTGATAAGGTGAGTATCAGAGTAAGGAAGGGTGGTAAGGTGAGAATCAGAGCACAGAAGGGTGATTAAGTGAGTATCAGAGTAAAGAAGAATGATAAGGTGAGTATCAGAGTAAGGAAGGGTGATAAGGTGAGTATCAGAGTAAAGAAGGATGTTAAGGTGAGTATCAGAGTAAGGAAGGTTGGTAAGGTGAGTATCAGAGTAAGAAAGGGTGATAAGGTGAGTATCAGAGTAAAGAAGGATGTTAAGGTGAGTATCAGAGTAAGGAAGGGTGGGAAGGTGAGTATCAGAGTAAGGAAGGGTGGTAAGGTGAGTATCAGAGAACGGAAGGGTGTTAAGGTGAGTATCAGAGTAAGGAAGGGTGGTAAGGTGAGTATCAGAGTAAGGAAGGGTGGTAAGGTGAGTATGATAAGGTGAGTATCAGAGTACGGAAGGGTGGTAAGGTGAGTATGACAGTAAGGAAGGCGATAAGATGAGTATCAGAGTACGGAAGGGTGATAAGGTGAGTATCAGAGTAAGGAAGGGTGATAAGGTGAGATTAGAGTAAGGAAGGGTGATAAGGTGAGTATCAGAGAAAGGAAGGATGACAAGGTGAGTATCAGAGTACGGAAGGTTGACAAGGTGAGTATCAAAGTACGGAAGGTTGATAAGGTGAGTATCAAAGTACGGAAGGTTGATAAGGTGAGTATCAGAGTACGGAAGAATGAAAAGGTGAGTATCAGAGTAATGAAGGGTGGTAAGGTGAGTATCAGAGTAAGGAAGGGTGGTAAGGTGAGTATCAGAGTAAGGAAGGGTGATAAGGTGAGTATCAGAGTAAGGAAGGGTGGTAAGGTGAGTATCAGAGTAAGGAAGGGTGGTAAGGTGAGTATCAGAGTAAGGAAGGGTGGTAAGGTGAGTATCAGAGTAAGGAAGGGTGGTAAGGTGAGTATCAGAGTAAGGAAGGGTGGTAAGGTGAGTATCAGAGTAAGGAAGGGTGGTAAGGTGAGTATCAGAGTAAGGAAGGGTGGTAAGGTGAGTATCAGAGTAAGGAAGGGTGGTAAGGTGAGTATCAGAGTAAGGAAGGGTGGTAAGGTGAGTATCAGAGTAAGGAAGGGTGGTAAGGTGAGTATCAGAGTAAGGAAGGGTGGTAAGGTGAGTATCAGAGTAAGGAAGGGTGGTAAGGTGAGTATCAGAGTAAGGAAGGGTGGTAAGGTGAGTATCAGAGTAAGGAAGGGTGGTAAGGTGAGTATCAGAGTAAGGAAGGGTGGTAAGGTGAGTATCAGAGTAAGGAAGGGTGGTAAGGTGAGTATCAGAGTAAGGAAGGGTGGTAAGGTGAGTATCAGAGTAAGGAAGGGTGGTAAGGTGAGTATCAGAGTAAGGAAGGGTGGTAAGGTGAGTATCAGAGTAAGGAAGGGTGGTAAGGTGAGTATCAGAGTAAGGAAGGGTGGTAAGGTGAGTATCAGAGTAAGGAAGGGTGGTAAGGTGAGTATCAGAGTAAGGAAGGGTGGTAAGGTGAGTATCAGAGTAAGGAAGGGTGATAAGGTGAGTATCAGAGTAAGGAAGGGTGGTAAGGTGAGTATCAGAGTACGGAAGGGTGATAAGGTGAGTATCAGAATACGGAAGGGTGATAAGGTGAATATCAGAGTACGGAAGGGTGGTAAGGTGAGTATCAGAGTAAGGAAGGGTGGTAAGGTGAGCATCAGAGAACATACATGTAAGGGCAATACGGTGAGTATCAACGTAAGGATTGAAGACTGTGTGTTTGCGCTTACTTAGATACTGACCTGTACTGAGAGCGGCAGTAGTTAAATCCACTGTCGTGATAGTATTACTTAGTTGTGGGGTGGCTGTTGACGAAGTTTGTTGTGTGCCCAATATTGTGACAGAGCTAGTTTCCAGTTGTATTGTTGTTGCTGATGACGTCAGGCTTGCAGTTGCTACACCAGGAGCGATGGTGGTGATGGCTTCTGAGGCGACAGTGGTTGTGGCTTCTGGGGCGACAGTGGTTGTGGCTTCTGGGGCGACAGTGGTTGTGGCTACTAGAGGTGCGCTCGAATAGCAAGGCTCAGCTATGACGGAATTTGGGTCTGCTGTTATGACCGACATTTTTATGATATCTAAAATACACCAAAAGAAAAAAGATATGAAAATTGGACTTGAACAATGTCTTACATTGAAGCATAAATAACAAGTATGCTTGAGAAATATAAGCTTGCGCAGTGTTGCATTTCCAGTTTCGAGATGGCAGAATTGGTAGTGTTACTTTATTGGATATTGTTGGGTATGTAGTGTTACTGTACTGGATATTGTTGGGGATGTAGTGTTACTGTAATGGATATGGGTATGTAGTGTTACTGGACTGCAGATTGTTGGGTATGTAGTGCTACTGTACTGGATATTGTTGGGCATGGAGTGTAACTCTACTGGATATTTTTGGGTATGTAGTGTAACTGTAATGGATATTGTTGGGTGGGTAAGTAGTGTTACTGTACTGCAGATTGTTGGGTATGTAGTGTACCTCTACTGGATATTGTTGGGAATGTAGTGTTACTGTACTGCGAATTGTTGGGTATGTAGTGTACTGTAATGGAGATTGTTGGGGATGTAGTGTTACTGTAATGGAGATTGTTGGGTATGTAGTGTTACTGTACTGCAAATTGTTGGGTATGTAGTGTTACTGTACTGCAGATTGTTGGGTATGTAGTGCTACTGTACTGGATATTGTTGGGTATGTAGTGTAACTCTACTGGATATTGTTGGGTATGTAGTGTAACTCTACTGGATAATGTTGGGTATGTAGTGTTACTGTAATGGAGATTGTTGGGTATGTAGTGTTACTGTAATG